ACACACACACACACACACACACACACACACACACACACACACATGCATACAGATACATGTTCACATACACTTGTGTGACTCTTTTCCTGGGGAGATATGAAAAAAGGTCTACTCATCTCTGATGGGGAAGTAATAAGAGGCCAAAGTAACAATATCATAAAAGTCTAACTTGATGAATCAATGAATTTTATTGGAGTTATTTACAGGAGTATAGGTGAGGGATTACTTGCAGAAGCATGGGTGACTCAAAGCTATTTCACTAATATTCCACCCCAGTCAGCAGGCTATGACTCACAAAATATGGAACCCTGGCACTTGACTGGCTGGAGAGTCTTCCGCAGAAGCTCTTACTGCTCATAAAACCTTGGTAAGGGCAAAGTGTTGTGAATCTTGTAAGTTTCAGGGAACTTATGAGACTTGTGAGATGTTGATTTTCTAATCTTTAATGTGCCTTCTTCAATATAGAATGTTCCAACTTGAGTCAATTGCTTTATTTCAACACACACACACACACACACACACACACACACACACACGCACGCAAACATGCACACACACACTTGTGCTCTCCTCATAGTATATGGCTTTTCTAATAAACCTTGCAATGTATCTAGCTCTTTGATAATTGCTACCATACATAGTTCACTCTGTAAATAATCATAAAAGATTAAAATGCTTATTAGCTTCACAGTGTTGGATATTAGACAATAGAAATAAATTTCTTAAAATCATTATTTAGAGGATATATACAAAGAATTTGAGTTGACTGGTTTATGCTCCATTAAAATATATTAGAACACTACATTAAATAAAGCAAATCAGGTCTGTTTTCATTAATATCTCAAAAGAGGTACATATTAAGTTTATATGTGACTTTGCAATTGAAAAATATATTAATATATTTTTAAGTCATGGAGGAAAGTGTCAAAATCATATTTAAATTGGTCTAAATTCAGCCACTCCAAAATAGCTGCCCTTAGCTTGAATCTTATTTTCTCATTTGTTTAGAAACAGATTCAAATACGTATTAGCTTCCCATTACTATTAGAACAAATTACCAAACTCAGTGGCTTAATAAAATGCAAATTTATTATCCTACAGTCCTGCAGGTAATAAATCTTACAAGGCTAAAATAAAGGTGTGAAGTGCTTTCTAGAGACACTGGTAGACAATCCACTTCCTGACTTTTCCAGGTTTGAGGGCTGCCACTTCACACCCTTGGTTTCTGGAAAACTTTCTCGCTTTCAAAGACAAAAGACCAAATTGAGACTTTCTCAGATTGTATCACTCTAACTTTCTGTCCTGCTTCCATTTTAAAGGACTCGTGTGATTTTATTAGGCCTGACTGGTATATTTCCAGGCACTCTTTCTACTTAAAGTCAGCTAATTATCCACAATTTTGTTTCCACTTGTGATCTTTATTGTTCTTTGCCATCAGCTACAACATATTTATAAACTTATTTATTTTCTTTACTGTTTTGCAGTGATGAAACCAGGATCTTGCACCTCTAGCTAATCACTCTACCATTGAGCATCATCCTGTAATAGGAATCTTAAAAGGTCTTATAATAAAAAAGCCAGAGTCAAATATTGGGGTGAAAGCTGAAAGATCACAGAAGCAAACAGACAGCCACTAGCTTACCTCTACAAAATCCTCAGCCTCAAGAGAGTGAGTCCTTCTTTCCTCATGCCTTATATACCTTTCTGTGTCCTGCCATATTACTCCCTGGGATTAAAGGCGTGTGTCACCACTGCCTGGTTCTGTTTCTCTCAAGTAGCCCAGGGTGGCCGTGAACTCACAGAGATCCAAAAGGATCTCTGCCTCCCAAGTGATAGGATTAAAAGTGTGTGCCACCACTGCCTGACCTCTATGTCTAATTTAGTGGCTGGTTCTGTCCTCTGATCCCTAGGTAAGCTTTATTGAGGTACACAATGTATCACCACAACTTCCCAAGTGTGTATGCCTGTTATTTTAGGGGGGGGGAGGTAGTTAGTTGCCTTAAACTTAATAAACAAGCATTTGCTAAATTTAAAATTAAAACAAAAAATGAATTTTCTGAACTATAAAGAATGTTTACATTTTAACCATTATTAAAAAAATTTTCAAGCTTAGAAATAAAATATTATCAAAATGCAAGGTTATAAATTATGTTCTTAGAGTTATGTCTCCAAAATTATAATTGCTTGTCTTTCCCTTAGAAAAATATAAAATTGTGCCACTTGTATTATTTTTATTTCATCAAAGTGTAAAAAGTTAAACTCAGTCTTCAACATTGAGTCTCTGATAGCATGTAAATCTTCCTTGTAGGTA